TAATATAATATAATATAATATAATACACTATTCAAAAGTTTTTGTTTTTTTTTCAAATTTAGCAAAAACGAATAAATTGATAAAATATTTAAAAATAAATGTGGAAAACAACAGATTCAGCAAAACAAAAAGGAGGTAATTCAAATCTTTTTTGTTTAAAAATATACTGTAAAAGGACTATCTAGTGTAAATGGAAAAAACAATGCACATTATATAATTGTGTTAATAATGTTTCTTTCTTTTATTACTGGATGTCAAAATGCAAACTTCTTTTAAGAATTAATAAAAATACACTATCAGGTTAAATATAATTTTTTTATATTATAAGTTTATAAATACATTTTTAACTGTATATTTAAGCATGCAAAATACTTTTTGTATTTAGTGCACTTAAAATGTAGGCATAAATGGCACTACTTTATTTGTGTCTGTTTTTCTTGCTGTCGCAGGTTCAGAGATGGCAGGTCAACCACAAGTATGCGATTATGAAAAGCAAGACACTACTAAATGTGCCAGCATCAGTGAACAGTGATGGGAGACTCTCACCAGACCACAAACACACACACACACACACACACACACACACACACACTGACATTCAACAATGCTCTTTTTTTTTTTGGCATTTGCTCTTTGTTTTTTTTTACTGGTATATCAAATGACTAGCTGAAAGTGCATTGTCTTCTATAAGAGAAAAGTCTGATTCAAATGTGTTCCAAAACATGAATGACATGAATATAATGAAAAAAGCACCTCAAATGAGAACCGCCAAGATGTTTTTTGCCATGTTGCACAGTGTGTTATCTTCTGGGCCATCAGCGTGGTTTGAAGTGATGGCTTTAGTCCAGTGGAAAGAGGGTCTCCATAATCCTGGCGTGAGTTCAGCTCGAGCATTACATAATATTTGCAGGAATGTGCCAGAAGACAAGCGAGATCTGTAGAAACAATTCATAGTTACATGAAATATAATCTGGCATTATGAGGTTTGAACTGATTCTCTCATCTAAGGAAGTATTTTAGGAGAGTTAAGCAGTTCAGTTCCAAAATGAAAATCACTGAACGTGTTCTAGCAGTTTGATGTAACAATTTGGCTGGAATGCAAAATCAGCCTGTATAAATGCTTATACTGCTGCAATCTACACGCACATACTGAAGTACAATGCACACTCAAATACATGCATGCATTTAAGAAACCGCTTGCACATATATACGTGTGGCTTTTGCAAGCATTAACAAACCACATGTAAAGACACATCAAACAAGCACACTTAGCCTAATCATTCCTGTGAATTTCTCTGGCATACAGGATGTAGGCCCAAGGCAAACTTCACAGTGATTTGTCAACAGTCTGATCCAAGCAGGTGCTATCAATCACTTTATGTGTGTGTGTGTGTTTAAACCTTATCCTGAAGGAGAGTTAAAAATTACCCGGTATCTATAACTGTATAGATCATTGGTTCTCAACTGGATTTGTTTCAGGACGCATGGATTAAACCTTAGCTTGAGGGAGGGTTTGAAATGATCCTGTGTCTAAAACTATATCAACCCAGTCTCATAAAAATACGTACCTCTGGGTTTTTGCCATGAGACCGGGCAGAACTATATAGATCTGTGGTTTTCAGCTGGATTGGTTTCAGGACTCAGTTTCAGAATTGTTTATCATATAAAAGTAAACAAAAATGTCCTTGAAGGAATAGTTTACCCAAAAATGAAAAGTTGCTGAAAATTTACTCAGAATAATCCATCACAATAATCCACATGACTGCAGTCCATCAGTTAATGTCAAAAGCTGTTTTTTTTTTTTTTTGGAAAACAAATCAATTAAGAATTTTTTTTTACTTCAGTTAGTCATTTTGTCTGAATCAGGAGAGAAATATGCACAGATCAAGCACTGTTTACAAGTGAAACCGTTTACACTGTTTCATGCAACCTGTTGAGTTTCTACAAGTGACCGATGAATTTGCACAGTTTGAATGGATGCAAGTGTTATCTACTCCTTTTAAAAAATTGATAAGCTTATACAGATAATTATATGCTTTGTTGCATTTAGACGTCAGTTAAGAGACGATTATTAAATATTCAACCATTTTATCTAATTTGTGATGTTTAAGTCATGTTTGATTTAATACACTGGTCAAAAGTTTAAGGCCAGGACGGTTTTTTTTTTTTTTTTTTAAAGAAATGAATGTGACTTATTCAGCAAGAATGTATTAAATTGATCAACATTTATACTGTCACAAAAGATTTATATTTCAAATAAATCTCTTTGAACCTTCTATTCATCAAAGGCTTTCACATTGTTTGAAAAAAATTGTTCTTTTGAACCTTCTATTCTTCAAGGATTTCTGAAAAATGTATCAGCGTTTTTCACAAAAATATAAAGCAGCACAACTGTTATCATAAGAAATGTTTTTGAGCAGCAAATCAGCATCTTAGAATGATTCCTGAAGGATCATGTGACACTGAGGACTGGAGTAATGATGCTGAAAATTCAGCTTTGCATCACAGGAATAAATTACATTTTAAAATATATTATAAATGTAAATCTGGAGTGTGTCACTCACGAAATCAAAATACATTGTAAATCAGTTAGTAGTGTGAGAGATGATAGTTTTTTATTCTCTTTTTACAAGATGTCTTCTTCTAGAAAACATCCAGTGACAGTGGCAACTGGATTTATCATCCTGTTTAATGTCACCTGGTACAGCTCTAACATTTGTCATGCACTGGATGTTTGCTTCAAGACCAAACGCTCTGGCATAAACCAGCTGGAGGTGTTTGCTCCTTACCATAGCAACAGAACCAGATCGCGCTGGCCATGCAGGAAGTGCTACAACAAGGACAACAGGAAGTGCCCTGGCTCCGTCGGCCAGGCTTCAAAGAATTCCAGGAAGTTATTGTACTGTGTGGAATGAGCACTGGAATGCAGCATGTCTGCAGAGCAGTGAGGTCCCTGGCCGTGTTGTGAGTCACCAGGCGACGGCTTTTGAAGATAAAGGCTTGTTTTTTCATGCATATGTGGCATAACGCTGGCAGAGGCCTGGGCCTGTCTGGGTCCTCCATCGACCTGTCTACATTTCTTCTTCATGCAACACAGACAGCTCATTAACTAAAACTGAAACTATTAAAAACACAACTGAAATAGAGCTGAAAAATAATAAAATATAAATATTAGATAAAAACTTAAGCTAAATTAAAATTACAAATGCTGGCAACTGGTTGTGTCCATTTTATTATCTACAAAATCCAACCGCTTAGAAAAGTTAAGTAAATATTACAGTATCTTTCCAAGTAACTCACTGAAATTGCTTATTGCTTATTATCATGTCCTGTATGTTGAATGGGTGTTAAAAAAAAACTGTGGGCTTGAATAAATCTTCAACCAATTTCCAATTTTTTCACTAACATCAGCATTAATAGGAACTGAAGGGCTCCTGATCAGAACCACTAATTTATTATGATGTGCTATTTATGCATTATTTACTATTAGAATTACGCTTAGTTGTTTTAATAAATCTCTATCTTAACTATGAGCAAACTTCAATTGATGTGCGTTTTAAAAATACCTATGTACTTCTGTATGTCTTCTAAGAATTATCTGTGCTTATTCTAAATCTGCATTACGACATCTTCCATGTTGTTTAGAAATAATAACCCGTTGAAATTGCTTGGTTTTATTCTTCTGGAGGAATAATATGTTTCTTGGAAAGGTCAAATTTGTAAAAAAAAAAAAAGTGAATCAGAAGAGTATAAATGCAGCATCAAGTCCTGTAATGGGCGTTAAACATTATTGGCTTAAATTAATCTGCAAGTTTCCCCATTTTTTCACTAACATCAGCATTAACAGGAAAGGAAGAGCATTTCAGTGGCTTTCTGCTGATTTGCACAATTAATTTACTATTTTGCACACTTAGGGTTAGGAATTTATTCGCAAATAAGCTTAAGTAGTAAGCCTTTGCATGCAACTTAACCCAAGTCCTGTCTAAATTATGAAACTGCATGGAAATTAACTAAAAATGCTTTAGCAGCAACACAACAACCATCTACAACACCTTAACCTCATGGTGGCGACTTCTGTATGGGCAAACGCTACTAAAATCGAGTTATTCTACTCTTTTCCTCCAGACTAATCTGATTTTTATTCCATCTCTCAGTTTCTCTTTCATTTGATCCTCCTCTAGCTCCACAGGCTTAACTGGCAACATCCCTGGCCAATCAGAGCGAGGAATAGGAGCGTTCCGGAAGGTTCCGCCTGACAGTCGATCTCTCTAACGCGTGGACAGAGGTGTGCAAGGTTGGAGGGCAGAGGTGTAAGGTCAAAGGTCAACCCTGGTGGCTAAGCTTTAGCAGAAAACATGGCTTTGACATTCTGAGCAACACACTTTCTTCTCGCTGACATGGAAAGCCTCAAAGCTCCTCAAAACAAACCCTCCCTCGACTGGCTTTTACTGGATCAACATAAGAGATCTGAAAGAGCCTAACAGTAAATAAATGAAACACATCCCTTCCAAATAACTTTCGAAACTGCATGCTGGAAATATGCAAAGTTAATTAAGAAGACAGAGTTATTGCTCAGAGTTTGTGCTTCTAAAGTTCAGAAGAATTAATGGAGATGTCAATTATATTTAATCCCAAATTTGGCTAATCTAAATCAAATAAATTACATTAAAAAGTAAAATAAAATAAGTTTAGTATAATTACTATACTATCAGTATTTTGTTTTTATATTTTCATTTTAGTTAAAGTTATTTTGTTTTGTGTTTTTGTCATTTTTATTAGTTTTATGTTATTTTAATATTTCAACTTAAACTAAATGAAAATTATAAATTTTTCCTTGTTTATATATATATATATATATATATATATAAAACTAGCAATCGGGAATTCATTATTATTTCTTAGCAGTTCTCACGTTGGCTACGTAAACTTTGCATCGTTTAAAGGTTATAAAATAAAACTTAATTGAAAATCGGTAAAGTTACTTACTCTGATTGCTATCCATGTCGTCCATCTTTAGTGATCCGATTCGGTAGGTGGCGCTGTTACAAAAGAATAGGGTCCTAGAACTGCGGTCCTGAAACTGCAGCCTCCGGTTGTGCAGGAACATACTATTGTCTCTAATAGACTATGTCCAAATGTGTAGCTAACAAGCAAAATAATTTGTAGTGGCATATGAATATAAATGCCTTAATCTTAATACTTATAATGTTGAAAACATACTTTAGTCACAATGTAACCCAGTACAGATCTTAATAATTCCAAACATCTCAAATAAACTCTGTGGTCACCAGTAAGCTAATGTTTTGATGTCAATGTGTGCAGCTAGTAGGTGTATGGCATATTACGTTTATTCACTTAAGTATTAATCATTTATGCTTTATTTTTAAGTCATCCTTTCAAAACGAGTTCAATACACAAGTTTTAGAGTTTTAGAAGTTAATCTATTACCTTAACATGTGGACAGATTTCTCAGGGCCCACGGCTCATTTTGTGCATGCGTTTGTCGCCCTCTAGTGACAACCTACATCTCAGATCTTCTTCATCCTTCTTCTTCCCAGAGAGCACTCAGATCCTCTTCTCAGTTGTTACTGACTGTACCAAAATCTCGATTAATACCAAAAGATAACAGAGCGTTCTCAGTTCAGGCTCCAAAGCTTTGGAACACCTTACCTCCCTGACTATTAGGTTGGCCCGTTATCAACATAATAATCATGTCTTAAAACATATTTATTTTCTCAGGCTTATACAGTACATACTTTGTTTAGTAGAGATGTTTTATATTTGTTTGATGTTCTGTAAATTGTATTCTCTTTTTATATAGCTTTCTTTGGAGAGTGATATGTCATGTTTTGTCTGTTGTGCAGCACTTTGGTCAGCACTCATCTAGCCTATATAAAAAACCTTATCTTGACCTTGACTTGGTGTTTATTC